ACACAAAGGCATCATGGTTATAGGATAAAGTGCTGACTGACAGTATCGGGCTCTGCAGGGCTACACAACAGCACCATAATGGCTTAAAGCTTTATTAAGTTTTCCATTTGTACATGTAGGTGTTGGTGCAGGGATGCAATTAACAGTCTGATCACTTAAGAACAGAGTCTGATCTTGATTAGTCTCCTCGATAATAACATGTAACTCGGGGCCCAGAAGCAACAGACAAGGAAGCAATAAGTAATTTGTTGATGTCTGGCAACAAGGTGTTCTTGGGAAGTAAGTTCACAAATTTTTAAATCGTTTCAACCTCCAACTCAAAGCTTTTTACCCTCAGGCTGAGACTGCTCTCTTCTTTGTGGTTTTTGATCACATGCCTCCAATGAATTCAGATGTAGACCAAATGTTTACCATAGAACAGTAGACTGGTTTAACCTGGGGGCAATACAACCTTCATGATCCCTTTGAGGAAGCTGGTGCAACTACTTTTAGCTTGACCCGAAGACTCAAAGTGAACTTCAAAGTAGCTTAACAAAAAAGTCACATGTGATTTTAAAGCACGTGTGTGAACATGGTTGTCTCACTGTATTCTGATCTTTGAGGGAAACGTGAATTCAGGTCGCTTGACTGCAGCAATGCATGACAGAAGAGATAAGATGAGCCATGGCTAATATTTTACTATCATCACTGTGGCTGGTGGTGTCCTGTTCTAGCAGGATGTGGACGTTAAGCCAGCCTGATCCTCCCAGAGTCCAAATCCCTGAACGGACCATGATCTGACCCAGATCATCTACCAGCTATGCCCTCAACACCTGGTCAACAATTAACAGTGAAGTAGGTCTGGGAGACCCCGTGCTCTAACCCCCCCAACAGGTGCAGTCATTCCCATGGCAGGTCAGCTGGCTAACAGCTGTCCAGGTTAACAGTGTCTTACTAAGATAAACCCAACCAGTGTTTTACAGCGTAAACTCTCCCACATCACAGTAACTTTGAAACAAGTCTGTTTTGTCTGATATTTCACTTTCGCTTACTCATTACAGAGCTGAACCACAACAACCTCCACTTTGAATGTGCTCTAAATTTTAACGTTATAAGCTGCAATGAAGAATTGTTAAACTATACCACATCCATCCATCATCTATACCCCTTATTCATGAACAGGGTCACAGGGGGCTGGAGCCAATCCCAGCCGACACTGGGTGAGAGGTGGGGCCCACCCTGGACAGGTCGCCAGTCTGTCACAGGGCTGACATGTAGACAAACAACCACACACACTCACTCTTATGGACAATTTAGAGTCACCAGTCAACCTAAACTGCATGTCTTTGGACTGTGGGAGGAAGCTGGAGCACCCAGAGAGAACCCACGCAGGCACAGGCTCGAACCCAGAACCTTTTTGCTGTGAGGTGACAGCGCTAACCACTGCTGCGCTCTGCCACCCCAAACTATACTCTTGCATCTTAAATTGAGCATGCAGGATCAGGTCATCACATTAGCCTGTGGTCAGTGGTCTTCTACAGGTACAATGGCCACTTTGATAGTGAATTTTCATCAGAATAAATGTGTCTGAATGGTCAGCACCTCGGTACGTACTGTACATATACTAGAAGCTTTGACTTGAGCCCATAAATTACAGTTATATTGTAGAATCAGTCCTGACTTTATCAATAATTTTGTCAACTTGGTCGGTAAAACTCACCGGGGAGCACAAGCCTGTTTCTGGACATTTTTAGCTGACAAATCATGTGGAAAGGAGAAAAAAGAGACAATCAGGATCATTTTCATTTGCAAAAATTAGGTGCAACAGGCTCAAATGCCCGATGATTTAATGGCTGCACACTTGTAATTTTCCGTAATTTATTAATACAAGCTACATTCCAACCACACCTGGTGCTTCTCAGCCTTTTTATGCGTCTCAGTCATGACCAGCCCCTAGACTCCAGTGTGCACTCACCAGACAACTCTTCCTGATTCTACACTGACTCCATGTGCAACACACTCACTCGATTTGAACGTTTCATGAACTGGAACATGGAGGCACAGACAAAGCACAGAATAAGTGCTTGACTGAAAGCAAATAAATTACAGGAAGTGTGTGTACTGTATGTGTAAAAGTGAGCAGGAGAGGCACAGGCTGTATGAAGCAGTCACATGTTAGGCGGAGGAGGAAGGAGGAGGGCCTGCCAGTCACTTGTCTACGTCACAGCTACCGCCTCCCTCCCCCCACTCCACTACAACTCACATGACTGCAGCAGCCCTCTTCTGTAACTCCAGTCACGAGGATAGAGTAGTATTACAATAACCAGCCGGCAGGGGTGACCAGCACAGACGAACACAGAGAGAGAGCCAGAGCGGGCCACCAGCAGGCCTGACAACCCTGAGCAGCCAGTAACATATTAACACTGCCTTTGTAGAATACATAATCTTATCGTTTTACACTGGAAGAACTTACACTGATTCTTTTCACCTCTGTTCCTTATACTCAGGCTACACTTTACCCTTTTCTCTCTGTGCCACTCAGTGACTTTGCAGCAATCCAACATTAGAAGCCTCAGAAGAACGAGCTGCAGATTGTACTGCTACTATATAAAAGAGCATGCATGTTGGTACGAAATGCATCTAGTTTCCGTCTTCCAGATTTATAGTGACATTTATGCTGAGGGAAGTATATAAAGTCAACATTCCATGTTTTCATGCTGTTTATGCCACAGATGTCTCCTGCATCATTTTATGAACATTTCTTTAAAATTCTGCCCGATGTATCTGGCGTCTTTGGAAACTGATGGGGTTCTATGTGAACAATGTTTAGCAGCACAGGATGATGATGTAATATGTGACCGACCACTAGGGTGGAGATAATATAGAAAGATTAGAGCCAAATGTTATCTAAATGATTAGACAACTGTAAAACTATAACTGGGTTCATACACGCTGTACTGTAGGACCTCACAGGAATATCAGAGGATTATAGGAATGAGGCCGCATTCTGCACCATTTCCTCAGGAACATCATAATAGTTCTGGAGATGAAGAAGGCCACAGTAAAGTCACCACTGGCTATGACTACTGAGGTGATACTGAGGGACACACTAACAAAGCCACTGTTTAACATCAACAGACTAAAGTTCTGTTGCAGTGACATCATAGGACAAGACAATACAATGATGCAGAATGGCACTACCTGGTTGTGTTACACTAGAATATGTTGTGTTTCTTTCTTCATGCTGGGCTGCTC